AGCCGGCCACGAGACAGCCTTCGGCAAGCTTGTGCGGGTTTCCGCGGAGAATCAGGAAAGATATATGGGACTTTGTACGTGCCGAGTGCACCCTTGGTGGTGTTGACGATGACATAACGCGGCCTACTACGCAGATAGTATGAGTACAGAGCATAATTTGCGATAGAAAGCGTGACGCAACTAGGATCTAGCTAGGCTCGTCCGTACATGGAACTCTGCCTCACCGCGGCGAGAAACCAACCCCGCTATGTCCACGCAGACCAGGGTCCTCGATAGTCCCAGCATTTGAGCCCAGTTACTGCGAGCTTGCAGGTACTTAACAGTTTGTCAGTTCAAAGGTTGGGAAAGCGTCTTGTAAAAGCTATATACGCACTATTGCACCGATGAGAGGGTAGTAGTAGAAAGAGTGCACGTTTGCGAAGATACGATCCCGGTCTTCTAGCCGTACCGACCAAAGGCGGGGGTCCGCGATCGTCATGAAAATGAACTCGTCGGTCCAGATGGCGTTCAAAAAGAGGTAGTCGTAAGCCGGATGACAATACGTGAGCATCCAGGTTTGTGAAAGGGCAAATTGTCTATACATACAGCCAGGCCTGAGATAGAGATGAGAAAAGATAGCTACTTCAAACGGCAATCCCGAACATCTGATCGGGGGGCGGCAGCCAGGCCCGAGGGAGTGACTTGAAACGGTAGCCCCGAACATTTGATCGGGACCGGGAACGCAGGCCCGAGGGTGCGACGGGGGAGAGAGCGACTTGAAAAAGCAACCCCGAACATTTGATCGGGGCCGGGAAGGCAGGCCCGAGGGAGTGACGGGGGAGAGAGCGACTTGAAACGGCAACCCCGAACATTTGATCGGGGCCGGAAAGGCAGGCCCGAGGGAGACGCCAGGAAAATGAGCCCGAAAAGGGAAGTCCGATCAGATGTTCGGGCATCGGGGACCCGGTCCGAGCACGGGCGGGTGCAACATGCGAGTGCACGTACGGGCGTGAGTAGCGATCGGAAAATCGGGAAATTATTCGTACACATGGAAGACAAATGAATGGAACAGAATATAAAAAGGCAGGCTAAATAGGCTGGTTTGAAGCAATATATGGGCAAAATTTGCAAATGGGGCAGTTTCGCGTGCGCATAACATATTAATTATATGGTAAAAATAAATATGCAATGATAAAAGTGTTTCTCATATACGAGAGCATGTGCTGACACAAAAAGAGCCACTGCAGACATCAATTTGAGAGCGCAGCCAGAAATATGTCTCAGATATGGGCTAATCGAAATGCTTCCTTCGCACGTCTCCCCACACTCTCTGATACTCGTAAACACACATCTAACTCCTCGCGGCATCCCAAACCGCTCACCTTCCCTCGTATCTCATCCCGAACGGGTGTCAACACTCACATCTATCTTTCGCTTACAGTCTCCCTACCGTGTTCATCCTCATACTAACCCTCGCTACTCCTCCTGTCACCACTCGAACTATCCGTCTCCGTACCGTGCTGCACTCTACACTACCGGTCTCACATCATATACGCAACACATCTGCTCACCGCCCGCCGCTCGCATCCTGTCTTTCGCATATTTTTCCCGACCGCAAATCTGCAACTTCACTATCTACATCTCTTCCTATCGCTTCACTTATCCCCGGCACACTCATCTCTAACCAACTTTCTTTTTCGTCGCTCGACTCTGTTCTCCTTGCGCCTATCTGATGCTTTACCTTTGTCGCTGTCTTCCCGACACCGTACTCTGTACTCCCGACACTCCGACTCGATCACTGACACTGTAACCTGTTACGCACGTCCGCGCCTTCCGAACCGTCTCCGTCCACCTCCGGGTACTTCAACTACACGTCCACTGTCGAAACCCCAACCGTTATCTTCTTCGCACGTCTCCCCACACTCTCTGATACTCGTAAACACACATCTAACTCCTC